TGAGAAAAATGTGGATGCATCAAAACTTTCGAAACCGTCAGAATCCTCAGAAACGTTTTTTCCCCAGGAATGGACCGCGGAAGATGAGGCTTCTTACTGGTATGGTCAAGTGGAAATCACCACGCATTTGGGACCGTTGCGACGGGTCTGGATGGGCCCACAATGTACATTCCGAACTTATTCTCATCTGGTAAGCATAACGATTTCCCAGAAACGCATGAATTCATATTCTTCTATTTAGTTCGTTCATTTACAACATTTTGGCTTGATGTAATCGGTCCGATTACTGTTATTTCTCTCCCCGAATAATCACATCATCAAACGCTTTTTATATGTTATTCGTATACGTGATCATCTGCTTAGAACAGTAATGGCACCAACATGTACGTAATCAAAATGAGACGAACAGAAGGTAAATGAGAATGTACGAAGTTCATTTTTTACGGTTATATCAGTGTTATTGGCTGCTGCGCTACGGGCTTGCTCATCCGAAGTAGGTTTTACCTAGGGGACCTCACCAAGAACCGTTGACAAAGTGGTTTCACCCACAACGCAATCAGTTGGAACTTTTGATCTGTCGGAGATTGGTGTCCAATCTTTCGGACCATAAAACTTTAGAGCTGCCTTCCCCTGGTCTGAGTGATTGACGTGTCCTATTGCACACCTATATCGCTTATTATTTATTTATATTATTATTATTATTATTCTTACTATTATCAAACACAACTCGATAACATGATGATTGGCAGAAGTGCTCGTTTTAGCCGTTGACTGTGTATCCAATAGTTCATACACCGTGGATGCATTGGAATCAAGGTTTATCCATTCCCCTAGACGAGCTAGTTACTAGTAACTTCTCTCAGCCCCAGGAGTTGGTTTCTCGATCCCCTACTTTAGTGAAACACTTGCAAGAAGTAGGATTTCCTCGGCGAATTCTGTGAATACTTATCAGCCAAGAATATTTCCAGAGCAATTCGGGACAATGAATACCATTTATCGATTGAAACTGCATTTGTCGTTTGCAATGAATTCCGGGATCCATTTTGCCCTATACTAACGACATTGAGCAAAACGTGAAAAAGTATCGCAGATAGTGACACCTTTGCAGCTACTCAACTTAATTAACACTTCTCCCAGACTTTTACTTCTTGCCCTCTACTCCCTGTTCCGGCTTCACTAAGTTACCAGCTATTCTTTGCATACAGATGAAGTAAAACAAGTTTCCCATTGTGTTCCTTAGTTCATTCCCTTCGTGTATGTCTCACCACATACTACTATGTTTGGATTATTTTGCCGGATTGGAAGTGCATCTGCGGTTCAACGTTCAAAGAGTTTACGATAGTAAATCTTCTGGCTGTATCAAAGTGGAGTAAATCGCTTTCGAGCATGGTGTTGGAATGGAATAAAGTCAAATCATCGAGCTCGATGCCTTGTCTTGTGAGAATCGCGATTGATAGAAACACGAATAATGATAATAGCATCTCAGCCTTCTTGTCACGAAAGTTTTTGTGCTTTGCCTGTCAGATCCCATCATGGACTGCCCCTTTCCATGAACATCGGTTCTGTTTTGATCCCAAAGACATTTGCCCTGTTTATGTTCTGCAGGTTTTCAAACAGGCACTGTTTACCAGAGAACGGCATATATTGGCTATTTCACCTTGATATCTCTGGGAAGAATCTTGCCTTAGTTTCCTGAGATTGTCCCGGGATTCCTGAACATCGGGGTAAATCTTTATCGTTGACTAAACATTTACAATGTGGGTGAAGAGAATTAGTCACCAGGAAAAAATCAACAAAGGTGTAACTACCATTTGCAGCTGTTGCTTTACGCTTCGGACCTGCTTCTCGGCTTCCGACTATTTTATCATCGAATCGGATAACGCGATCTACGACCCCTTTTTCCAGCCTCCCTTGTCACTTTTTTTCGCTTTTCTTATCTTTAGCTTCTTGCCTTGAGTTGTCTGCTGGTTTGCCCAATGTATTCTGTGGGACATTCTTTACAACTGATAAATCGCATCCACCGCATCCCCTTCGTCGACTGTTTTGGTCCATTCATCTCGAACAAGAAGCAGGTTGGTGGCGCAAGATCGCTTTTGCCTAAACCCGTGTTGAGCTGTCGAAAGAATGTTGTATCTTTCAAGGTGTTCCATCAGAGAATCTGCTACAATTGACTCCATGACTTTCGATAACGCCGGAAGCAGGGTTACAGGTCGGTAGTTAGTGGGGTCACTACGGCAACCACCTTTGTATATGGGTGAAATAACTCTTTGTTCCCACGGTTCTGAGAGTGTTGCTTGTTCGAACATTCTTTGAAACAGGAATGGATAGTATTTCGGTTACGTGATCCGACGAAAAGATAAGAGATTTTGGGTGTATGTTGTTCGCACCTGGGGTTTCATTTTTTGGCAAAGCCAATATTTTCGCTTTGACTTTTTCAGCAGTAAATGATGGGTAGGTGAGCGAAGGATGTGGAAGATGATGCAACCGGGGAGGTAGTTGTAAACCTTCATCCTGCGGTGATGCGAAAACATTGGAATATTGAGTTTTCAGCATTTCAGCTGCTTCCGTTGGAGTGGCTGCAACTCTTCCGGCGCTACTTAGTACCGGCATGTCAAACTTTACTTTCCGAATGGAGTTGACGTGTTGGTACAACAGCTTAGGGTTAGAAATGAATCTCTGTGCTAGCGCCTCTTGGTATTTCGGTTTATCCTCACGAATCAGCCTGGTGCAGTGGTTCCTCAGCATACGATAATTAT